CCGTGTTTCAAGTAGCAGATGAACGTTTAGTTGCGGTAGCTAATATTGTTCGTGTCGACAATAAAAAACGCCGAAAGCCAACATTTCTTTGCTTAACCGGTTTGCTAATTAGTAGTGTCGGAATTCTTTTTTCAAAATGCAGTAGCTTCATTATATCTACCTGTTATTTGGTTTTGGATCGCTTTTTATCAGTTCTTTAAAATCGTGATATCCTTGCAGTGACAACGGATCAGCCAATAGCTGTACGTTTATATTTCGTCAAAAATGAGAAGGAAGACTACTACAAGAAGAAAAGGCAGTTCACGCTGCGAGATGTAAAGACAGTTGATGGCATCAACCCGCGGAAGGTTAATTGCATTTTGATAGCTTTTACGGTGTAATTAATTAAATCCCCTTGTCTCAGCAAGTTTTTTAAGAATCCCTGAAGAATATCTGTCAGTTGCAGTTGACACCGGAGTTCGAATTGGTTGTTGAGGATCGTTTGTTCAGGCTTTGTGCTTCCACAACTGAAGAGAAAGATTCATTCATCAAACAACTGTATAAGGTCTTCCAAACTACTTTTTTACATCCATACTTTTTAATTTTCGTAAGACTGTAGTTTGCGTGAGTTGTTTCAGTTTGCCAATAAGTATCTCCCGGTACAGAAGCCAGATTTTGTAAACGTTCCGATTCCTATTGAAACACCGCACGCAGCTGTTATTGCAGAACATGTTGATGGTGATACCGATGAAGGGTTAGTTGATTACCAGGTTGGTGCGGAAAATATGTACTTTAAATTTAAACTTTTTACATTGTCTAGTTTTTTCGAGTTCTCAGCGTTAAAGTTTCAGTGTCTTGACATAAATTGTTTTATTCATTCAAAAAGTTTTTATCAGGTATTGTTCCAGCCAATATCTGCTAAAGAGGAAGCTGATTTCCGTCGCTTGCTTGCACGCGCCAATCTTACGATCGGTGAAGCGGATAAATTTGCCACAGTGCTTGCATCTCAGCTTCAGCTTTTGGATGGTGCTAACATACAGTCCATTATGGATAGTGAAGCTGCTGTGAACGACCTTATTGCACTTGTGGAAGATGCCTTAGAAGAAGCTGATTTCTTGGATAAAGAGCTTGACAGTTTTGATGAATTACTTTATGTTAGAGCCCTATTTGATCTTCCTGAGCGTGCAATATTGTTCTATTTTATACAATGATTGCTTAATTGTTGGACGAACATGAATTTCTTGTTTGAAATTTGATATTTGAAGTCCATTGATAGGACTATGAATTAAATGAGAAAAAGAAGTTGGATTTAATTGTTTCTTATGAATTAAACAGCATGTACGCGATAGTGTCGAATTGATCGAAGAAAAAGATAGCCTTGGATGTGTTGAGCGGAAAAATACTCGAATTTTGAAAGATTTTTTATTGGAATTGGTGACAACTGTGGATATCGTTAGTGAAGATCATATCCGTGCACTACAGAATGCGAACTTATCCGATCCTGTAAGGTAAGAATTAGTTGGTGGAGTCGTTTTGTGATGACGTTTATTGAAGGGAGATGTTGATAATATGAAGTTTTGTGTTCTTTGTGCTTCTTGCTGAGCTTAATTTACATTGCAGTATTAGTCGATGTTGTACTGCAGCACGTGCTTTACAAGCTTATTCAGCAGCAAAAGTTAATCCTTCAGTTCATTTAATGGTGGCATATAAGGAAAGAACTGAGCAGTTAAATCAGTTGACTGATCATTTCATCGAAAAACTGATGGCACACATGTCTGCGTTATTCTCAAATTTGGTACGTTTGCTGTGCTTGTGTTTTATGCATTAAAACATCGTTGGCTTATTGGAAGTTTCAGAACGATTTGATAGAAGTATCAGACTGGCATGAAATTGCAATACGGAAACAGTCGGAAAGATTCCACGCTCTGCGACCATTTTCGGACTTGATAGGATGGTTGAAATTGGTTAGACCAGGTGCGTACCAAGCACTTATACAGGTATATTTCTTACTGTACATATGGTGGAATTTGTTTTCATGTTGGATTAAATGGAACCTAATTTTCGATTTTTCAACAATGTAAACGTAATCTTAAAAGACAGACGTGCAAGTGGTCACGTAACTTTCAAATCTTTTTTTTCCAGAGGTATGTGCAAAACACAAAATTGATATACAAGAAGGAATTTGAGCGTTTCTTTGAAAGTATAAGTGGTGAACTGAACAAAATCATCAATTTCGAACGCAAAGCTACTTTCCGAGGTTCTGAAACAATGAAATCTACAGCCGAAAAGTCGTTCTTTGCTGAAAACAAAATTGATTCGAAGGAAGTCATCAGAGTAAGTACGTTCCATGTTTTCATAAGGATAACCTGAGAATGGTACTTGTTGACAAAACCACGTTTTTGATGTGTACGGATTTCCAGAGAATTTGAGAATAATTTAAAATGGTAATTTTTTCATTGTTATGCATTATTTTAGTTGATTGAAGTTGTATTGGGTGAGGTCGGTCCAGTGGTCGAATCGGAACAGAAGTTTTGTGCAAGGTTTTTCCATATGGCTGGTGATCTTTTGGCTGCATTGGAAACTCAGTCCACATCAAGCGGAGATAGCGGTGTCATGGGCAGAAATGTTGAAAAACAAATTACGGATCAGGTAAGTTCCCGGTGGGACTTACTTAGATTTGTTTCTTTAACAGTTTCCAAATCCCATCTCTTAAGTGTTAGTGACGAAACAAATTGTATTTGTCCATTTTTCTGTGTAATTCAGGTGCGTGCTATTTTATCTCCGTTGTTCGAGCCGTTGCATAATCATTTCGATAAGTTCATCAAGTCCTGCTGTCGTCTGCAACAGCCGTATGTGTTTTCTCTTTGTCGAATGTTAAACTATTCAAATTTTACCTTAAAGAGAAAGGGCAAAGAAAACCATTTGCTGTGAAAGCTTAAGCTTATAGTTTTGAGGTTTTTGCTGCTTATTTTCCAGTTTTCATTAGGTTTGTGTTTGCAATGTTTGTGTTCTTATCGAAACAGGCACTTTCGTTGCAAGATGGGTCGTCCTATTTTTCTGTGATGGTTTTCGGACGTTTGGTTGTATTAGTCAAAAGACAAATGGATACATATTTGGTAAATGTTTCAAATGATTTTATTCATTTCTTCTCAATTTCTCTTCATAGTGAACCCTCGTAGCAGTGATCATACGTAATATTTCTGCAAAAATTAAAACCAGTATATAATGCTTGGTGTTTTTACAGGATGGTAAATCCTACCAGCTGGCTGAGATCAAATTGTCAAAAAGAGTACGGATTGGTATTCTAGAAAATGTCTGTCAGTTTGCGGTATACTTTTTATTTAAAACTCTGCAGACTTTGTAAACGATGTTTTCCATCACACTTCAAGTCAGGAAGATTGCGTTAAGGACCTCTTACTGGAGCTTATATTTTCGCAGGAATTGGCCCGTACAGCAGAATCAGCCTTTGCTGGAACTGAGCGTCGAGCTGACCTAGATCGGTGGTATGTGCAGCTTATAACTTCGTTGAAAGATGGAGTCGAATGTGCTGCTGCATCACCATTTTCGAAATCTCCAGCTGCAGTTGTTCGATTCGAAAATTATCACCACTTGTATTGTATGTTTAAACACTTCGATTTTACAGTTAACATTATTTTTTTATTATGATGTCAAGGATATCAATTTTTATTTTCTTTGAGATTTCATGTCCGATTACTGATAAGATGTGCTGTTTTGAAATAATAGTGTTAAGTAATAAGAGTCTTAAGTCTTTCAGAGGTGTTTCAAAGCACATAACACTTATGAAAATTGATTGAGGAAGTTTTGGTCAGGATCAAATTTCTTTGCAGCTGTTTTGTCGGAACTTAAGATCGATTGCTTGGATTCGCAAAGAAAGGAAGTAAAAAAAGCATATCAAGATAATATACAGGTTTATGTGAAGGAATTGATGGGAAGACCGCTTGAAAAAATACATGTTAGTTTTACGTACGCGAATTGTTCTGGAAATAGGATAGGCATTTTCATAGCATTTACTGAGATGATGATCTGATCTGTTTTACCGTTCAGAGGGAAAGAGGGTTGCTTCATAAAAATTTCACGCATAAAATTAGTATTTGTAAGGAGTATTTTTCTTTCAGCACTTTTTTGAATCAGTAGAAAATGTCATTCGACAAGGAGTCAAACCGGAGGAAGTAGCATTTCACCAACAGTTCAGCCGAGTAGAATTGAAAAAGGTGCATTATGATGCTTTTTCTCCAGGGAATCTTAAGGTGTTTTCTTCTCTTCAGAGTCTCCACAAATCTCAATTTCGTTTGAGGTCTTCATAATCAGCTCTTCTAAATTCTATAGGTGATATCACTTTATCCTGAAAAGGAAGTAAAAAAAGGACTCGAGCAGTTATACAAGAAGATAGAAAAGCATCTGATTGATGATTCGCCGTTACTACAAGTTGTTTGGAGAAATGTTCAAGTTAGTATTTACCATTTTTCACTTTTTATCCTTTCATCTAATGTTTGTTTTAGACGTAGAGTTTAGCAGAACTCAGTAATGCTTTACATATTACTCTCCAGTTATATTTGTTTCATAAAATTTTCAGGATGAATTCCTCAAACAACTGAAGCATTACAATGAAGTAATGGGACAGTGTTATCCGAATTCACGAATTGATCTTGAAATGTCCGTCCAAGATGTTCTCAGTTATTTTTCGCAGTTTGCTATGCAGCATTGAATGAATTGGATTAATATCAATCTAAATCGCCTTTTATAGCGAGATTTCTAGGAAAAACTGTTAATTTTGTTTGTGTACTCTGATAATCTGAGTTTTCTGGTTTACTTATACTTTGAAAAACTTTTTTATCATACTCTTTGTACTTAAATAAATCATTTATATATGTTAAATTATTTTGGTAAGAGTGGTGGTCAGTTTTCGTTGACATAGGACGGAAATTTCGCTTGGGTTCCTTTCTGTGGTATAGACTATTTATGGGACGTCATAAGAAGATGGATAGGGTGGAAGAGGTGTTTTGTTATGTATGTTTGTGTATGTATGCATGTGTATATATATTTTGTGGGAGGGATACGAGAAGTTTAGAGTGCTGATATATCGTGAGACTGAAGCTGTGGATCTCCGCCGACTGTTCAGTTGAAGCAGTTGGTGTATATTATTCAAGAGTTGATGGGCTGTGGTGTGGAACCTCGAGTAGAACTAGCTTTACGACGGACCCTATTCTTTGGTTTAATACTCCTTCTTTACCTAGTTTTTGGTGCCTCCATCTTTTCTATTTTACCAAAACGACAACAGACCCTGGTAAGCTTTTAAAAATTTTGTGATTCATCATTTCACGAAGTAATTGAGAGTACAATCGTCCGATGCGATATCGGTTTTTATATATCCTGACACTTCTTTTAAGTACAAAAATATGTGCGATAGAAATGTGCATCAGTTTGTGCAGATTATGAGTTTTTTTGTGAACAAATTTTGCATATAAAGTAGTGGTGGATGAAGAGTATCCTGTGCTTCTGAACTTTCTGATTTTTGTCACATTTCATATTCGTGTCACATCGGTTCAGAACTTCAACACTTTATACTTCAATATCTTCATATAATTTACAGATGTAAAAGTACAACTACTTCCTCAAATGTTTTTAAATTTTAAATGAAGAAGCTGTTGGTAGAGTGAGCCAATTCTGTGACAAAAGTGATGAGTTAAGCACGCACGAGGAAACGATAGAAGTTTCTGTAAGAAACGTGAACTGTATTCACGAAGTCAATTTTTTAAAGAAACAAACAAAGAAATTTGAGGAATCTGCAACTGTTCAGCATTCGTGTCCGGGATTCTTACATTACCTGAAATTTTATGCGGTGTGCAAACTGGGTACTCAGCAAAACTGAAATTGTGAGTGTGGGCATTGTAATACACATTGTCACCATTAAGAATGAATTTTCACAAAATAGAGTAAGAAAAAATATTCTTATTCACAAAATAAAAAATATTCACAAAATAAGAATATTTTTTGGTTCCATGGATCTTCCCTTAGATTTAAAAAGCATAAGTTTTAATTTTTAATTTGGAAATTCAAGAAGCTTAATTTGTATGTAATTTACAGAATTCCACTCTTAAAATTGAAACCGAAATTGTAGAAGGGTTGCTTCATGATTTATCAAAAAACAGTTGCCATTGTGAAACTGTTGAAATTCAAAATATTTTTAAAATATTTTGACAGGCCTTTCCTCTTTATAGAAAACGTAAACTTCTACACAAATGTCATCTTTTTCAGCAGTAACTGATTGATAGACATACTCAGTTTAACATATACTATTATAGTTTTTAAAAAGCTCTTATCATTGCTATTCTATTAAACAGAATCTTTCATAAGGATGATATGAAGTGACAAAGTGAAATAAAGTGCTGCTGAGTCATACGTATCCAGAAAAGAGGATAAGAGGGTAAAGCTAATCTATAGTGATTTCCACTAATGCATTATTATTTCCTTTGTGGACAATTCCGTATTGAGATGAATTTCCTTGTTGCTGTACCATCAGCAAGATGTTGTAAGAGATCACCAATGATATTCTTAAAATGGCACAACATTCAGTAATAGACCTATCAATTTATTTTTAATCCTTCAAGAATAGTTTTGCTTCTTAGTTCTCGTGAAATTCTTGAACTTTCCGTGATGATGTCTCCTTTTCCCGCTTTTTGGAACATTGGAAGAATTATCAAGAAAGTTATGATGTCGAAATTTTACAGAAATGTGAAAAAAGTGCAGCGCGGTTGGATGCGCAACGAAGCGAAATGTTAAATGTGTTGTGGGCAGAGACCATGGCGCAATCAGAACATGAATGGTTCCTAATGGCTAATCAGAAATTGGATATCTACGAGCAGCTCGTGTTCAATTCATGTCGAAGAGTTGCCGGTTCACCATCAAAATCATTCAATAAAGCATTCATACATGCTTTTACCCTGGTTACTACAATTGGTAGTTTAATAATTATTCAAAAACCAACTTTCAGATGTGTGAAATAATTTAGTTGAATCTTTCTGGCGAATTTCATTTTCAGCAAAAACCTTAACATATTATGTTCCAAAATTTTTGGGACTCAGAAGACTCAAGCGGAAAATCAAAAAATTCAGGTATTCAAGGTTTTTTTTGAGATTTTTGGGCTCGGAATGTCCATGAATTCAACAAATCTCAAAACTGGGGCTACTTTAGAAAAATCTAGTTCTTATCAGGAAAAAAAATCACCAAAATCTTGACCAGTAACCGGATTTTTCAGAGGGATTCGGCGATGACATCGTAAACTTTTTTTTTTCTACGTATGGCTTCATTAGGGCATACATCGCTACCGAAACTTTTTTTTACTGAATAATTGAACCATACGGTGGTAATTCTGAACGAAGACTTGATTTTAAAAGTCAAAAAATTTTTAATTCTTTAGGATTCTTAGATGAAGAAAATTTCTCACCAATCGCTAAAATAGCAACCATGAGTTACGCTATTATTGGCATACCACTGGCACTTTTATACCTTGCTCAATGCTCCAAAATGTTTGCTGGCCTATTACCGGGTAACCACATACTTATTGCGGCACTTGTAGCTATTTTTGCAACAGCGATTATTTTCGACATCATCGAAGGGTCAAACGATGATACGGTATATTCAAATTTTTTGAATTTTAAAAATAAATTGTTTTTCAAGTTTTTCAAGAGTTTGTCAAATTAGCCGCGGAAAACATTAACAAGTTGTGTATTGAAATATGTTTACACCACTTTGGCACTTTCAAAATTAAAAAAGTAAGTATAATCATCACTTTGAGAAATATGACATTACTACGATTTCTGAAAGTTATACAAACTTGTAAAATAACTTTACGAGTCGAATTTGATTGCAAAACTTCATTTCCTCAGAATTCCTTCTTTTTTCCGGAATTTTTTAATTGCCTTTGAAATTTATAGTTCTCTACATGACTTTTCTAATAGTTTCATTTTTATCAACAACATTTTCCGCTTATCCTATTTCTTCCTCTACCTCCAGACATCAAATTTTTTCTTTTTTGTTCAACAATACAATGTCAGATCTTCTGCCCATAACATTAGGATATATCGGATTATCGTGGAAAGAGAAGACGAAATTCATTTCAACAACTGTGAAAAATTCATAATTCGTAAATACTTCACTTTCATGCCAATTCGTACTTTATTGCACGTATTACGATTTTATTTTTTCAATACTTATTTTGAAGCGTAGCACTTAATTAATCGGCATAATTAATTCAGTTTAGCCGTTCATCGATGCCATCTTCCATGTATTTCTAATGTTGTCAACTGTCGGAAGCTGCAGTACCGAACCACCCGTCGCACTGATTCTTGTTGCCCTATTCGCTGTTGGTCTAAT